CAGAAACCCAGACAGAGTGAGCAATCTTCACTCATACACAGTTTGGAGGACTCTTCATCAGAATTGGTCTAGATCAAAGCCACATTATTTTGTTAGGGTGCTTCTCTGACTCCTCAAACCCAGAGGGAGTAGACCAAACAAGCTTAACAGAAGGTGATACATAATTTAGAATATAAAATTCTGCTTTTAGAATGAATAAAATACTGGCAAACAAATTAAAATACTGGTTTCAACTCCTCATTGCATTCCTTGTAAATCTCTCTTCTCAGAAAACAAAAATCTTAGGTCACTGAGATCTAGTTGAGAAGTAATATCCTAAAGGCTTCAGAAGTTTAGAAATGTTTATTATTACATACATTACATTTTTTCAGGACACAATAGGGACAACAGTCACGGGGAACACATTTTCATCCCAAAAAGGAGATACAGGAAAATCAAATTAATTGGACTGTAACAATACCAAACTCCAGCAGGGTTAAACATTAAATCTTAGAGATCTGTATCTGTGCTCAGGCACCCTGTGTAAGGGGAAATCTCCCCTCACTGCTTTGTCAGCTAGGACCCATGTTTCAGTTCCTTCAGCTTCAACTTTCATCTTTGCCACTCCACAGGCTTTGGAGGGTGAGGATGCTGTCACATTCGAGACTCTGCAGTGGCACTACTTCTATGCTAACTCTCTGTACAAGCCCCACGTATCCCAGGCATGCTTGGGTATCCCTGCACAAGCCTCCATGACTCAGGCTTCTCTTGGCTTTTTCCCCCTGGATGCTTCCTGAGTCCATCCTTTGGGGTCTGCAAGTTTCCCACGGTGGCCCAGCACACTGTGGCTTTCTTCAGTGTTTCCCATTAATGACACCCCTACTTTCCTGGGGTCTCCTTGATACTTCTACTCTCACAAACCATAGGCAAAACTCCCAAAGGGTTTCAACTCTGCCATACAGCTTGGAGGGCCCATGCCCCCGCCCCCGCCCTCGTAAGTCTCTAATTTTAAATATCCACAAAATCAGAGGCATATGAATAATGAGAAGACCCAGTAGACTGAACCTAGAGCTGCGTCTGGAAGAAAAGACACCACCACCAGGTTCTATCAGAAGGAATTCTTCCCAGAGTGATATCTGAAATCAATTTTCACTTTTAGCGACACTGTATGGATAAGGCTGCCTCAAAGATCTCCGAAATGCCCTTGAAGTCTTTCCCCAGTGCTTTGCCCATTCACACATAGCCCTGTTTTACTTGCAGTAATCTCTTCAACAAGTGGTTTCTCACCCTACTCTCCTATTTCCAACACTTTTGTTTCATTCTCTCGCTGGATAGGCTCCAGATTTCCAACATCTTTCTGCTTTTCTCCCATTGGCTCTTTATTCACACTGTACATCTTACTAGCTACAACCAATAACACCCATGTTGCAGCCTAACATGTGTCGACTTGAAATCTCCCCGAACAGCGGAGCCTACCATCTTACTTTTTTATTTTATTTCTTCAAAGATTTATTTATTAATTTATTTAAAAAGCAGACTTATAGATAGAAGGAAAGACAAAAGGAGAGGTCTTTTTTATGCTAGTTCATTTATTTCCCTGATGCCTGAAACAGCCAGACCTGAGCCAATCTGAAGCCAGATCTGAAGCCTCCTCCAGGTCTTCCACAAAGGTGTGGGGGCCTTTGATCCATCCTCTGCTGCTGTTCTCCAGGTCATAAGCAAGGAGCTGGATGGGGTTTGGAGAAGCCAGGAACAAATCAGTACCCATATGGAATGCCATTGCCACACTCAGCCATGGTGCCAAACCTAGCACCATCTTCCCACAGAATCTCAACACACAAAAAAAAGCCACCAGTAAGGTTCTTTGCCACTATGTAAACAATTTTTAATGCAAAAAAAAAAGTTATGAATAAACAAATACCCATCCCCCAAAAAAGAATGGCCTTCAGTCTAATTTCCAGCAGACATTCATTTCCATCTGAAAAATTACTAACAAGGTGCTTTTGGTTCACATTTCTACCAACATTCGCAGTCTGACTATAAGCCCCAAATCTCTTTGCTTTTAAATTCTTTTTCTGATTCTTTTAGATGTAAATCTCCTTCCAGTCTCTCACAGTTTCATAATACAAGGCTTTCTCAAGGACCCAGAGCCAAACCTCCAAATTGTAACCAAGGGCCAGGCTTTTGTCCCAGCATCCTAAAGGATAAGAACCCAACTTCAATAAGGAACAATTAAAAATTCAAATGAATTAATTTCATTGACCAATCTCCTCCATAAGGCCCTGCAGCACCCTTCCAGGGGCTCATCCCATAGTTTAACTCCCACTAGCTTTTGGTTTCAAAAGAATTGAGTTAAATCTCTTATTCCTTTCATAAAAACATCAAACATTTCTACCTTACCAGTTTTACTCTGCCTAAATTTTTTTAAGAAACATTTTGTGATGTTGGTACTTTTTTCTCCATAAAATAATATATTTCTTATTTGTCAATTAGGTCACATCTTTGCCATTAGTCACAACTAAAAATACGACATTTAAAAATAGTAGCTGTTTTTTTTTTTTTTGCCTAAATCAACCATTGTTAAGGGATTTTGAGTTATTTATCCTTGTATCATCTTTTATGAGAATCTTGTTCTTAAATCTGTTTTAATTTTCATGCCTCCAGAATGTGGGTAGCTTCTTATCAAAGCCCTCTTGCTTATGTTGTACCCAGATTTTGAGATCCCCAGAAAATCATCAGGAGTCTGAAGTTGATGCAAAAGCATAAGAGTGGTTGATTCAGACTTCCTTAGGGTCCCAGCCGGGACCCCAGCCCAGTAGGGCTGGGGGAGGGGCAGCAGCAGAAGTTGCAGCAGAAGCAGTAGAAGGGGCAGAAGAAAACAAGGGGTCCAGGTTGAACAGCATAGGGTTTTTATACATTTCAGGCCAATTCCACACAATTATACAGTTTAACTGGTCAGTTTAACTGTTAACTTTTAAAAAGAGCAAGTTGGCAGGCTTCTACTGGTGAGTTTGAAGCAAGGGACTTTGAAAAAGTAAAAACTGGAGGGCTGGAGGGTACTGAGCAACTATCAAACAAGCACACCGGGGGTGTCCTTGAGGAGTGCTCTGCCTGCCAGGCGTCCTGCCACCTGTCAAGTAGACTGTCAGGCCTGGAGTTCGCACAGCCCCCAGCCAAGCAAACAAGGCAGAAATCACAAAAGCAGAAAACACTTAGGTTCTTCACTTACCCTTTTCATTTGCCATTGTTTCCCAATGTAAGAGCTGTATGCCATGTATTTGCCCCCATGATTATAGTCAAAGGTGTTTCTATTGCCTCTAACTCCTCTGTTCCCTCTTAAATCTAAAAAGAAAGAGCAGAAAGAGAAGGAGGGGGTGAAAGAGGAAGTGGAGGAAAAGGAGCAGAGACAAAGAAGAGGAAGAGGAAGAAGCAGAAAAAGGAGGGGAGGAGTAGGAAGAAGTGTTGAAGGCCAGGAAGAAATGAAGGGAAAACACTGACATGCAACGTGTGAACACAGCAGCAAGTTCAACTCCCTTTCTTCTTTGAATCAGTTCTCAAAGAGGGACACTCCACTGGAGAATGAATGATGAATTTATGTAGGATAAAGAGCGGAACCAAAATACCTATCCAAAATACCTATATAATACACTTCATGAAGCAAACAAGGCCTTCCAAGAAATGCCTTGGGCAACAAGCCTGAATGCCTAAAACCATTACTCTGTGTCACTGATAACTGAGCTGTAGCCTAACCTTGTCTGTGTTTGTCCATCTCGCAGAAGATGCTTCCCAAGCCTTCCACTTCTTCCGCTTTCATTGTAACAGGTGTTCATGCACTGACGTGCTTCTTGGAGGGAGGGGGGAATTGTTCATTTTCTGCTTTGTTGTTCATCCGGGACACTGTCTGTCCTCTACCAGCACGAACTCAAGATGGCATTGATTCTCAATCACATCTATGCAAGGACAATGTTTGCTGGATCCTATTATCTTTTCTATTGTTCAGGAAAAAAATCCTTACATTAATCAGAAACATAAAAAAACAGATATTAAAATTGCAAAATATGGTTCCATAGCAAAGTCTTATAGAAAAGATGCTTTCGAAAAACATAAAAACATATTTTTAAAATATGTAAAAATTTTTTAAAAATTAAAAATCTATGAACATTATATCAATACCATTTTAGCCATTTCAATACTCATAATAGAAAAATTTTTGATGATATAATAATCATCTAGAATAGTTTCAGACCAACACTGAGATAAAGATTTTTGAATATAGTGGAACACTGAAACGTGTGGGTGGTAAGCTAGGGATAGGAAAGATAACGGAATGGAAATGAAGAGAAGCTCTAGAGATTCTGACATCTGAAAACAGAATAGGACCTGAGGGAAGGTTTCATTGGAATTAGAGATAAGCATACATAAAAAGAGAAAGCACGAGCATGAATGCAAATTTGCTGAATACATGCATTGAACCCTTGCCACATAGCAAGCCAATTCTTTGTCACTGGGTTATAAGATAACTCAGTCTAGTGATTTTTGCCAGAGAATTTTGGTGCATGTCTTGCCATGACCATTGGAAGAGTAACTAACTTTATCTTAGTCAAACTGTCAGGGGTACTGTTCATGATTGACCTCAAGTCTACAGAATATTTTCTTCTCCAAGGAACTTTCATAGAAATAAATATGCAGCCTCCCAAATCCATAGGTTGAACACCCAATTAACTCTTCTTAAAATTATAATTGGAAACGGGGCTTTCGAGAAAATAATTAGAGAGTTTAGTGAGATCCTAATGAAGGGACCCTAAGCCAGTAGGACTACTGTCCTTTATATGAAAAGAGATATCAGAGTTCTCTCCCACCAATACCTCCTCTCTTTCCATGTGTGCAGAGAGAAAAGACCTCATATGTACAAAAAGCAGCTATCTATCTTGAAAGCCAAGGAGAAGAACCTCAGGAGAAATAACAGCTGCTAGCACCTTAACCTTGGACTTTAAGTTTCTAACATGGTGAGAAATGAATTTCTGAATATAAATCTTGCAGTCCGCAGTGCTGTGTTACTACCAGCCTAACAGACAGATACAACTTCCATGTAACCATGGTTTGGGTTTCCTTCTGCCTCACCCTGTGTTTTTTCTTTTTCCTCTTCCATCAGATTACACATTTCCTTTCCTCTTCTCTGTCCTTGGTTCTTTATTTAAAGCTTTTTAAGTAATCTTATCCTTTTCTTGGGCTTGTTTTGCAGATGTGATATTAGTAGTCTGGCATTTCTAAAGAGCTTTTAATATTTAGACATATAGTTAAAAAGAAATAAGGGTAAAATCACACATAATTTGAAATTTTCTATAAGAAAACACAAGAATAGATAAATGGCATAAGATGGAGCCCAGGAGGATGTCTGTTGGAGCTGAATGATGGGTCCATGAAGGTTCTTTTTTTTTTTTTTTAAAAAAAAAGATTTATTTTTATTATTTATTTATTGGAAAGGTGGATATACGGAGACGAGAGACAGAGAGGAAGATCTTCTGTCTGATGATTCACTCCCCAAGTGAGCGCAACGGCTGATGCTATGCCAGTCCAAAGCCAGGAGCCTCTTCCGGGTCTCCCACGCGGGTGCAGGGTCCCAAAGCTTTGGGCCGTCCTCGACTGCCTTCCCGGGCCACAGGCAGGGAGCTGGAAGGGAAGCGGGGCTGCCAGGATTAGAACCGGTGCCCATATGGGATCCCGGGCGTGCTAGGCGAGGACCTTAACCACTGCGCCACCGTGCCGGGCCCCCTGAAGATTCTTTATACCATTCATTGTGGCCTACATAATGTAGCTCCTGGGGTCCTGTACTGATGTCCTCAAATACTGAACTCTAGAAGATGACTATATCTAGACATAGGACATTGAAAGGATAATAAAGAAAGACAGTGATATATCTGGCTTTAATCCAACACAATTGGTGTCCACATAAAAACAGATCAGGCCACCAATGTGCCAGCACACAGAGGAACAATGATATGAGGGTATAACAAGAAAGTGGCCACTTACAAGCCTCAGAAAAACTTAGAAACCCTTCTGCCACCTTGATCAGAAACTTAGCCTCAAAAGCTATAAGCAAATTGATAATCACTGTTTGCCTGCCCAGCCTGGTTTTTTGTTTGTTTATTTTGCTTTGGGATGTTTTTATAGTGCAGCCTTGGAAAATGAATATCTTTATGACCTGATTTTAGTGCTGGTATTAGAATTCTTCATTGTAAATAAGTTTTTAAAAATACTCTCTACACATAAATGCCTTTCAAATTAATATTCTAGCTTACCTTTGTTCTGTGTGCTCTAAACTGTTATGCAACATTCTTAGCATCTCTAGTTGGATAAATACAATAGACATTACCAAATAAATATGACCAACGCAGAACAACATTAGCTTCTCAAATTTCACTAACTCTCCTTTGTCTTAGAATGTGTTGTGACCATTCATGAAGTCACTTAGACCAAATCCTAGGACAGTATCCTGGAGACTTCTTTCACTCATGACCCACATCTTAAAGAGCAACACTACTTCGGACTCATCTTCCAAAAATCGCATCCTATTTCTCCTCATTTTTGCTGCAAATCCAAGCCAACGTTTTATATTCCTTGGATCAACTCTTAATTATCCTTATTTCAATCATTTTGCTTATGTACAAACATTTAGCTTGATCTAGGGCAAAGTCTAAAGTATCACTCACACTCTTAAAAATCCACCAGCAGGTTTTCATAATGTTTCTAATTTTTTATATCATCATATCCAACATGATATGGCTTTCATCTTTTTCTCTAAAGGTAAATTTCTTTTGTTCTGGGCCTCTATGATTTGAGGAATTGGTTATTATCAAATATAGCCTTGTAATATCTGGTAGATATAACATTTAATTAACATTTAGTTAACATTTAATTTTTAATTACTTTTTGTTTGAGTGCTTCTTCCTGTTCTGACTAGAGCATGACTTCCTTAAGGATAAATAATCTTCCTGGTCACTAGCATACTCCGTTCCTGGCCCGTAGTCTGACTGTTAGTAAGCAACCAAATGTTTATTGACTCTCGTATTCATTAAACTACATTTAAGAATGTGACTCAGTTTGAGGCCAAAGTGAGACTTACTTCTTTCTCTTCCAGATCTCAACCTTTCATATCCAGCCCCATGCCCAAGCGGCTTCACTGATGGAACCACAGTGTGCTGTTCACACTTGGCCACATTTAAAACAGAAAATGCTATTTAGAAATCCAGATATAGGAGCTGGCAATACTGACCTCACAGGGTAAAAAGAGGAATATGATGGCGAGGAATATAAGGGAGTTTCCTTGGAGGGAGGAAACTTGAGCCCTCGGACACTTTGCCTGCCACCACTCAGTGGTGTAATCAGAGAAGTACATGCCTGGCTGGAAGGACACCACTGTGGCACCGACTGAGGAAATAGTCCCAATGGGAATCTAACTGAATGAATGGATCAGCTGCTTCTCTTCTCTTTGGAATAAAAAATATGTACAACAGGAGTATTCCAACCAGTTCTCCTCAATGATATGATCATGCAGCAGCACCATCCACTTTAGCCCAAGGTCAAGAAGTATAGATTCAGGAGAGAGAATCCACAGCCACCTTCAGCTCCAAAGTACTGAGTCAAATTCCTTGGAATTTCTGGGATGTCAATGTAATGATTTTAGAGTAGTGGATTTATTCCCATTATGAACCATAAAAAAAAATAGATGAATCAAAAATGAGAAGATGGCTTTCTCAAGAGCCAGTTTATGTTGTCTATTTTATACTAACTAAACACAATTTCCATTTGCATTAGTTCATCATAGAAATGATAACAACAAGCGAAATCAGAAAGCAAATAAACACGAACGGAGGGCTTCTATTGAGTTCCCATTTTAATGTATCTTCTTCATCTTTTTGGACAAAATGTATTTTGGGCAAAATAAACATTAACACAAAAGGCAAAACAAAGACATAAGCTCTTTAAATAGCACATTGTGTCTGAGAAAAACAAATTCTGGCATGCTCTACATCCCGTAGAAAGTTGACATGCCATTTTAGAATAAGCTTGTTTTGTTGAAGATAGAATTTGCATCTTAGTGGAAGCTCACAAGCATATAACCTGTGAAGAGATGGTTGCCATGACAACATTAATGAGCCTGTCCTATGACCAAAGATATCTTAAAGAGAGAATACATTTATGCTCCTACTTATTATCATGTTGGTCTCTGCTTTCTGGACAAGAAGAGCTGGAAAAAAGATTCACTGTAATAGAAGGGAATATTTATTAATGACCTCACATGAAATATTTTAAAGTTTGTTATTAGTAAGAGAAGAATTTTATAGCATTAAAAAATCCTGAATGCTCCATGTAAAAAAACATTTACACTGAAAATGTGCTTTGTTTATAATGAGCTACTGATATAAATCTGGGTATTGTTTTCAAATAATAAGTGTTCAATGACGGTTAGTCTAGTTTGACATAATGCATGTGGTTGTACAGTCTTTCATGAAAGAGTTCAAAAAACTTTTCCACAGATCACTTTTCAAACGTGTCTTAAACAGTAAATATATATTGGGAACTAAGTATCTGACACCTGTTATGTTTCTCTTCCATACCTGCTCTTTACATACAACACAGCTTTTCAGCCTTAAACAGAAATAGGGAAAGTGAGGCTCTGGGAGATTCGTGTTTCTCGGGGGCTTATCAGTCAATAGGACTCTGCATACATACTGTGTCCTTTAAATGGTTATGTCTTTCCTCCACAACACAGTATCCACCTGCTTCAAGGTGTTCATAACAAAGTAAATATTGCTGGGTCTGACACAGTGGCACAGAAGGCTAACCCTCGGGCCGTGACACCAATTCATATCTTGGCTGCTCCACGTCCCATCCAGTAGTCTGGGAAAGCAGCAGAAGCTGGCTCAGGTCCTTGAGAGCCGGTAAACATGTGGGAAACCCAGAAGAAGCTTCTGGTTCCTGATTTAGGATCAACTCAGCTCCAGGCGTGGCAGCCATCTGGAGAACAACCAGTGAATGGAAGATCTTTATTTGTGTCTTCTCTTTCTGTACAATCTTCCCTCCAAATAAAAATCTAAATCCTTTCAATAAAAAATAAGGAACAGGAAAATTCCTCCACTCAGGAGTTTTAAATTGTCAGAGAGATATACATTTCATTTAGAGAAACTGTAACTGATTTTTGAATTTCAATTGCAGGATTCATGACATAACTTCATGAATATTCTTAGAGTAGACATCTACTAATATTGAACTGTCATTTCTACAAGCTACTTAAAAAAAATCAGCACAAAAACTAGAGTGCTCTGGAGATGGATTGAGCTACTTAAAAAAAGTAGTGAATATCTTGCCATAAAAATATTAAGCCAGAATCTGAGTGACCATAAAACAATCACTCTGCACTAAAAATTGAAATTAAACAAAGTGTGGATTTTTTTTATAATAAAAAAGTTGGCATATATCTGTTAAGTTTTCAATCCTGTGTATTTATTTAGTGCTATTAATCTTATTTCACACAGTTTAAAGTTGTATTATTGATATAAGTATACTTTTTGTAGATACAGCATTGTATTGACTGCTCTTTCATTCTATAATGTTCTTACCATTAATAATGGCACTCAGTAGAAGTTACAAATTTTGTAGCCGATCTGGCTTCTGCTTGTTATTTGTTCTATCTTTTCATCATCATTAGTATTAGTATTGAAAAGACAGATATATAGAGGAGGAGAGACAGAGGGAAAGATCTTCCATCCGATGGTTCACTCCCTAAGCAGCCGCGAGGGCTGGAGCTGAGCCGTTCCGGAGCCAGGAGCTTCCTTCATGTCACCCATGCATGTGCAGGGTCCCAATGCTTTGGGTCACCCTTGACTGCAGTCCCAGGCCACAGGTAGGGGCTGGATGGGAAGTGGAGCTGCTGGGATTAGAACCAGCACCCATATGGGATCCTAGAGCGTTCAAGGCGAGGACTTTAATCCCTATGCTATCTTGCTGGGCCCTGTTCTATCTTTTTAAACTTAATTTTTATAATTTTGAAAGTCAGAGTTAGAAGAGAGAGTATCACAGAGAGATCTTCCACCTGCTGCTTACCTCCCTAGCTGGACAGAATAGCCAGTGCTAGGCCAGATCCAAACCAGGATCTAGGAAATTCGTCAGGATCTCCCCCATGAATGGCAGGGACCCAAACACTTGAGCCATCTTCCACTGATTTTCACAGGCCATTAGCACAGAGATGGATCAGAAGTGGAGCAGCCAGAACATGAACAGACATCTATATGGGTTGCTGGCACTAGTGGCCATGCATTTACTCAGTACAACAAAATGATAGCCCCTACCTTCCTCCCCGACAACTCTACTTTCAATATTTTGTATCTGAAAAAATGTGTATTTCAACTTTTCTGATTTTTTACATATACACACAACAGTGGTCATCAAAGTTCATGGATGATGTATAGTGTCTTTACAGTCCATTTTCCATTTTTTGAAGCAAATTCATACATATTTCTAGTTACAGTTAGCCCTCCTATTTCTAAATTTCATATGGATGGATTCAACTAATACAGATCAAAAATATTCAGAAAAAACAAATTTGGAATGAATACATACAAACTTTGTATTTTTTTAATTACCTGAATAAAACTGTATAACAACTATTTACCTAGCACTTACATTGTTAGGCATTATAAATAATCTACAGTAATCAAGAAGATATAATGTAAGATGCAGACACTACAACATTTTATACAAGTACATATACACCCACGTATGGTATCCCAGAACTTGATATCTATGAGGGCTCTGGGATTGGTGCCCTGTAGCTACCCAGGGCACTATGGTTTCTGCATCATCACCCATCTCTCCTGCTCTGAAAACTCATGAAAGAGCTAAGTTCCTATCAGGGAGACTAGTTACAAATTTGCAAAAGATAAGTCCTACAGTATTGTGGTAAAGGTCATACTGGTTGTACACAATTGGGTTTTTCTCCAACCCCACCACTCTAGCTGTCCACAAGGTCTCTAACTCAGAAGATGCCTCAGGATCACTTCATTGCTCCTTGTGATGCATGAC